ACTTCATGGCACTTAACCACCACCACCACAACAGTATACAAGAGTAAGGAAAAAGAATATGGCTATGAAGTAATAGAAACCTTTATTACTCAAAAATATCAAAATGTGAAGTCATTGTTTGATGTAATCTCCATCTAGGTCTATACACTTCTGAAAGTGGTGTTTCCATTTCTCTACCCCTTCTCCCACAAATTGTGCACTTTTTGATTTACACTGTGTCAAAGCAGTAGGTTTGGCATCATCAGAAAGCTCAAATCATGTTTCTTTGAAATGGTCTTCGAGTTTGGGGAGCAAAAAGAAGTCTGAACACGATCAGGGCTGGAAGGTGGGTATGGTAAGGTAACAAAATTCTCATAATACAACTCCTGCTACCCTTGAAGAATGAGCAGCTGCTTCATCGTGGTGTAAAAAATCTCCTCAGTGCAACTCTCCTGACTTTTTTCTTCATTGGTGTACTTTTCAGTTTTCTGAAAATTTCTTCCTAGTAAGCCTCCCTGTTTTGTGCCCTTTGAGAAAATCTACCGAGATTATCCCTTTGGAATTCTGAAAACCAGTCCCATTACATTCTGAGCTGACCTGTCTTCAATGTGACTTGTCCAGCAGTTCCCCGAGAAGTCACTGTTTTGATTGGACCTTTGTTTTGAGGGCACCCTAAGGAGACTAAGACAAGTGTGTTCCTGAGAGAACTTGTCTGCTGCATGCATGAACTGTAACCCTAGTAGGAATACTTGCTGACTTACCCTCATCTTACCGTCAGTAGCCAAAACACCCATCAACAAACGAATGGATAAACAAACTGTGGTACATACACACAATGCAGTGCTACTCAGTTAGTTGTTCTTGCTAAGTGCTTTCCAGTTGGTTCTGACTCTTAGCAACCCTGTGTAGGGCTTCTGAGGAGTGGCTGGTGAGTTTGAACTACTGACCTGGTGGTTCAAACCTACCTTGCGGTCCAGGGCAATATCCTACAGCGCCACACCAGGATTCCACTCAGTCAATAGGAGACATGAAATATTAATTCATGTTACATATAGATGGATTCCTGGTGTGGCGCTGTAGGATAAGCACAGGACTGCTAACCACAAGGTAGGCAGTTCAAACCCACCAGCCACTCCTTGGAAACCCTATAGAGGGGGGTTACTGTGAGTTGGAACTGACTCGACAGCACTGAACAGCAGCGACGACATTATGGATGATCTTGAACACATTATGCTGAGTGAAATACTCAATCACAAAAGAACAAATATTATATGACCTAATTTATGTAAAAATACAAGAAACAGAAAATGTATAGAGATCAAAGTTTATTAGTAGTATCCAGAAGCAGGAGGAAGAGCAAAAACGGTGGTGAACAGGATGGAAAAAGCATATTCACTAGGGGTGGGATTGTACAGCTGATTATTGTAATTGCTGTCAATAACTTGTACACCTGTAAAACATTGATCAGCAGAAGCTTTGTGATAAATATTTACAAAAATGGCAAAAAAAGAAGAGAAGAGCTGCTGAGGCTGCTTAGGTTAACCAAACTCCTCACAGGATTTGATTCCTTGAATTGGAGGTTTAAGGTCATGGTTTCATGGGACATCCCAGTTAACTGGCCTAATAGCGGATTTAGGACTCTCTTCGACACCCTAATTGGTTGTGTAGTGCCTAGGGTTTTAAAAGTTTGCAAATAGCTATCCAAACACAACATTCGGTTTTTATTCACCTGGAATAACAGGAAGGAGAGGCAGAAGGAGGGTGTGGACTGTGTGGCTAATTGCCTCCATGAACAAGTGCCTCCTTTGCCTCCTTTGCCTCGAGACCAGAAGAATTGGAGAGTGACCATTGCTGACCAAAGATTCCATCGAATTCTGATTTAGAGTGGGGAAATGCAGAACAGAATCTCAAATTCTCATGCTTCTAGACTTTCTGGAGCCATGGAGGGTAGATGAACCCCTGAGACAATCTTTAAAATTTAAACCAATCCTGTGCCCTGAAGTCTTCTTAAAACTTAACATTGTTGTTGTTGTTAGGACCATCAAGTCAGTTCCAACTCCTAGTGACCCTGCGCACAACAGGAGGAAGCACTGCCGATCCTGCGTCAGCCTCTCAATTGTTGTTAGCTTTGAACTCATTGTTACTGCCACTGGGCCAATCTAGCTCATTGCTGGGGTTGTGTGTGTGTGTGTGTGTGTCGGGGGGGGGGTCTTCCTCTTTCTCTGATCCTTCATTTTACCAAGCATGATGTCCTTCTCCAAAGACCGGTTCCTCCAAAGAAAGAGAGATGAAGTCTGACCATCCTTGCGTTTAAGGTGAATTCTGGCTGTACTTCTGCCAGCACAGATGTGTTCTTTTACCAGTCATGGTACTTTCAATATTCTCCAACACCATAATCCAAATGCATTGATTCTTTTGCAGTGTTTCGCATGCATATGAGACCATTGAAAATACCATGGCTTGAGTCAGGTGCACCTTAGTCTTCAAACTGACATCTTTGTTCTTAGTACTTTAAAGAGATCTTGTGCAGCAGATTTGCTTAATGCAAAATGTCACATGATTTTTTTTAATGTTTTATTGTGAATTATATGATAGTTTACATGGGAAAACCTTAGTTTTACATTCATTCTATCGTATATCATTTCATTGCCGCCATGGTTCCAATCCCCTCCATGCACATCAACCAACCAAAGGGTATACCCTGCAAGCCTGCCCCCTACACTACACAACACCCTCCCCCACCCCACACCCAGTCTTCAGCACACAGTCCCTCTCCCTCTCTGGATCTAAAGTCCCCAGCTATTCCATCGCTCCACATCATCATCTCTGCCTCCATCTCAGGAATCGCTGCTTCTCTGGGTAGGGTCCCGTTCTTGGCTCTTCTCCGTTGATGGTCCTAGAGGCCTCCGCTCCTAGACTGGAGAGTTAATCACTCCCTTCCTTGCTATAAAACGTCTACCTTTACATTTCCAACCCTCACAATCAGTCCTGATAACCATTATTCACTATTGTATCACGAGAGACCCATCTGCATTTCATTTCATCAGCTCCACCTAGACAGATTGGATACTACTCACTGGAGATTCTGCCTTCCTCCAGGCCCCCTGGCTCTAAGTTCCCTCTTGAAACTTGTAAGCCAGTCACTTCTTGCCTTTGTAGCCAACCCCCCCTCCCCCCATTTTGGGTAGCCAATGTCCATGTTGCCCATCCCTGTCTACTCTGTGTGTGGAGGGGGTGGGAGTCACATGATTTCTTGACTGCATCTTCCATGAGTGTTTATAATGGATCCAACAAAAATGAAGTTTTTGATGTCTTCAATCTTTTCTCCATTTATCATGAAGCTATTTATTGGTCCAGTTGTGAGGATTTTTGTTTTCTTTACAATGAGGTGTCATCCATACTGAAAGCTATAGTCTTTGATCATCAATAAGTTTCTTAAGTCCTCTTTGCTTTCAGCAAGCAAGATTGTGTCATATCTTAGGTTGTTAATGAGTCTTCTTCCAATCCTGATGCTGCGTTCTTCTTCATATAATCCAGTTTCTCGGATTTATTTGCTCAGCATACAGATTGAATAACCCTGGCACACACCTTTCCTGATTTAAACCATTCAGGATCCTCTTGTTCTGTTCTAACAACTGTCTCTTGGTTTATGTACAGATTCTTCATGAGCACAGTTAAGTGTTCTGGAGTGCCCACTCTTCACAATGTTGTCCATAGTTTGTTATTATCAAAACCGAACATAGTTTAGCTTAATAAGGAAAAAAAGTCTGCCTTGAGCATTATGCTTTTTTAAGATCTACCCACATGAGATCAAATTGACAACAACAACCCAAAAGATTAGACAGGAACCTTAGGAGATAGTGAGTTTGTTAATGATGGAGAATCAACTCAGAGAATGAGGATGAAAATGGTCGTGCAACTCAAAGGTCATAATCCATGTCACTGAATTGCTAAATGGTACATATAGAAACTGTTGAATTGGTGTATGTTTTGCTGTGTATCTTTTCAACAACATAAAATTAAAATTGGAAGGAAATCAAAGAAACAAAGTCTATGTAGGAAACAACCTCTCTTTGAGGTTTGGCTAGGAACCTGGTTTTGTAATGAAGGTGAAGTTTCTGTTTAATCTATTATGTTTACATTAAGTCATTTTCTTTCTTTTCTTTTACCTGCAGTGATTTTTGTTTTGTTTCAATGAAACTAGACAGTTGTTGAAACTGCAATCACTGATTTTTAGCATTGAACCTTGGGGTTCAGTGCACGGCTGAGTGAGAAGGTGGGCCATGTTTCACTGGGAGAATGGTGGTTGAATCAGTATTGGTTATTTTTAGATGTCTTGTGCCCATTCAGGAAAGGCTTTCTGGAAGGTTAGTTCCAGGAACATATTCAGAGGAGGAAAGGGTGGCAGCTTCCTGCTGTATCATGGCTGCTGTTCCAAGAAGGCAGGGAAATGTGAATCAGGAGGGTTCTCCACGGGAAATTCCCCCATGGGTGGCTTGGGGGCTGTGGCAGGAGGAATTGGCATTGTTGTCCCTTTGAGACCTTGAGCTCCCATGGCTTGTGTTACTTAGCATTCTCCTTCACAGCCAGTTTGTAAGAGGACAGTGGCCCCTGAAACTAGCTTACTTTAGAAACTACATGAAAATCAGTGGCACCAGGTTCCTTTTGTCCTACATCTGTGGCATCATTGTGCAGTGACATCAGGACATATTTTTTGGGTGCTAGCACCAAGAAGGATGCTGTTTCGGAGAGTTCTGCCGTGTATGTAGAAAGAGAAGCTGAAACTGTCCTCTCCTGGATCCCATTGACCTTTCAGCAGCTCTTGCCTGGGCTTGCTCACTGGTGCCTGGAGGGGGCGACACGAAGCGATTCCTGGTCTGCAGAGTTTGTCACAAGAGCACAGGGACGGGAGCCTCGTCAAGGTGGCACAGAAGGCACCTGTGACTGCTCAGTCAGTTCTGAAAATTATAACCCTGTGTTTTTCTTTTTACTTTCCCAATGCGCAGCGGAGGAGCCCTCAGAAGTTCCCCAGTTGCCGCCCCGAGGGAAGGGCCCGCAGGTGCCCAGCAGGCTGCCCGAGGACACCACTGAGCCAACTCATCCGAAGCTGACTCCCACCCCGCTACCAAGCCCCAGTGGCCCACCGTCTTCCGAGGACCCAGGACAGCGCCCCGTGCTGCCCAAGAGGCCCCTGTTGCCGCAGCCCCCCAAAGGGATGCTGCCCCCACCAGCGTGGCCTGGCTGGACAGGTCTGCCCGTGCTGCCTGGGTCTACGGGAGTCATCATGGAGACTGGAGAGGCTGGGCCTCCGGGCCGAATGGGCGTATCTGGCAGGGGCCTGCCCCAAGGGGTTGATGGTCAAATGGGACAGGCGGCCATCCCCAGCTCTGAAGGCTACGCAGGTGCACCAGGTAAGCCCGATACACCCTCAGCTGGGCTCATCTGAGCCTAGGGCCGCTGAAGCGCCCTGGTGACTTGGATGTCAGGTGTGTGCCTACACGGATGTGGAGACCACAGACTACTTCCACCTGAGCACCAGGGGATCTGCTGCAGATGGGTTCTGGTCCAGGATCTGACTTTCAGTTGAACAAATTCCAAAAATTAGCTTTCCCAAAGGTGTTAAGATCCTGAGGGACCAAGTCCTGCTAATTAAACACTCCAAGGCTGGGGCACACCAGGGGCAGTGCAATAGCTCCCACTGGGTTAGAGCACCCTGCCACATGGGCAGCCCATTTGTTCTCCAGGCAAAAAGGAGTCCTTGGGAAGCCACATGTGTTTGGGGAGCTTGTTTAGTAGCAAAGATAGGCAGCTCATCAGAGCAGTTAGGCAGGAGGTTGCTGGTTCAATTCCCAGTACATCATTCACAAGCTTTGTGACCTCAAGTCACTTCCTAAGCTTCCTCTTTAAGGTTCAGTTTCTTCAACTGCAAAATTAGAATAATAATAGTATCTCTCCGTTAGATATAGTATTCTCTGTGAGAATGAAGCAAGAAAAGCTTACTTTAGTACTTGGCTAAGAAGCGCTCAATGCAAGTTGTGAATGTCAGCATCATGTAATGATGGTGATGTGATGGTGATGGTGGTGATGGTGGTGATGTGTTAGTATAGTAGTATGATGGCGATGGTGGTGGTTTGGTGTGAAGGTGGTGGTGTAGTGGTATGGTGGTGGTATGGTTATGGTGGTGGTAGTATGGTGGTGATGATGGTGGTAATGGTGGTGATGGTGTTTGAGATGGTGGTGATGGTAGTGGTGTGGTGGTCTGGTGATGGTGGTGGTTTGGTGGTGGTAGTGGAGGTGGTGGAGTTAGTGGTGTCTGAGCAAAGAAAGTAGGAAGAAGGAAAAAAGAGTAAGCATGGGATTCCCAGTATGTGCCAGGTACTGAACCAAGGACACTGTGGAAAGTCATATTAATTCTATTTTACTGATGAGGAAACTAAACCTCAGGAAGCAGTCACATAAACAGATGGCTTGTTTGGGTCAGGTCGTGTTTACTGCCCTAGGAGAGTATACACCAATCCCTCTGAATCAGCTCAGTTTCTGACAGGGCTGGGGTTGGCGATCAGTGATGACCTGGTGCACCCATAACCCTAAGCAGCAAAGCTAAGATGAGAAGAGGCATGATTTCTTTTAGCACCTCCCTTTTCTCTGTTCCTTCTTGGTCACAGTGATCATCACGCCCCCTTAAGCAGGTATGCCACCTTTCCTAAGACATCAGCATGTCTTCTCTCCATCCCACGTGCCCTGGATGCCTCTACTCTGTTGAGCTATGTGGTCATTTGCTTATTCCTTCCCTTGGAAAACACCACATTAAGCCTAACTGGGGAGGCAAAGCTTGTGGACAGATGATGCTCCTGTGCTTGTTGGCTGATCTGCATCTCTGGAATGTTCTTCCCTGGTCTGGACCCAGGGCCTCATCCTCCATCTCCTCATAGTCCTCCCCACCCAGGCTGCCCTCAGTGCCCTCTGCTCTAGGGAAGCAGCAGGGACAGGTGGGTGTCTGTGTGTCTGTTTCTGGGAAGGCAGCTCCGAGTGGGTGTCCTTGTTGTGTCTATGTCTGTTTCCGTAGTAATGACAACAATTTGAAAACAGAGGAACAGATTAGAAAAGGGGCTCAGAAAAATGACCTGTTGTTTAGGGTTTTGACATTCCATTCTCATTTTGTTTTTCAGGATACCCCAAATCACCTCCTGTAGCTTCTCCGGGTATGTTTGCTGCCTGCCACAGTCCAGGGCCCAGAGGATGGTTCTCCCTATTGGTGTCTGGCCCTCACCTGGATTTCCAGCCTCCTCCATCTGGGCTGTTAGCATGGGGAAGGCTAGGGTCAAACTCTTCCTTGCTCCAGCAGTGGGTTACGTCTCTGCTGATGGCAGGGGGTCAAACCCTCCAGGCATGCTCCCAGTTACAATCAGTCATGCCCAAGACAAGGAATTTCCCTTGGACATCATCCCAGCTCATTGCCAGCTTTGGCCCTGACACATTTCCTGGGGTCCAGGTTTTATTGGTTTATAAATAAGTAAGCAAGGAGCTCTGGTAGCTTAATGGTTACAAGTTCTTCTGCTAATTTCACAGTGAGCAGTTCGAAACTACCAGGGGTTCCATGGTAGAAAGATGAGGCTTTCTATTCTTGTAAAGATTTACAGCATCTGAAACCCTGTACAGGGTTGCCATGAGTTGGAACCGACTCCACGGCACACTACCACCACCACCACCACCGCCGCCATCCACCCCATCCCTTTAACACATCCTCAAACAGGGCTCACATGCACAAAGACTCCTACCCCTCACACACAGCCTCACACACAGAATCTCTCCCTCAGTTTCTCACACACAGCATGCCTCACACACATACATAAGTCAGTCTTTCATACAGAATTTCTCAGTTTCTCACATACATTGTCTCTGTTTTTACACACAGTCTCTCATTCCCACGCACATATACACAATCCATCTTGCAGTCTTTCTCTTTCACATTGTCTGTTTTACACACAGTACCTCAGTCTTACACACACACAATTCCTTCCACCCACAACTCACATACACATACACACAATTTTTGACACACAGTCTAGTTCCCACAGCCTCTCTATTACACACACACACACACACACACACACACACAAGCACCTAGCAGGTGCCTGCCTGATTTCCCAGCTTCCTCAGCTGTCCACTGCTGACCTCTGCACTTGGGTGTGATGAGTATTTTGAGTCCAGTGGCATTATAGCACTTTAGGTGAACTACAATGGTAGGCCTACTACTGGGCACCGGCACAAAGGCCCACTTACAGAAGGTAGCCAGCCAGAACCAGAAGTGAAAGCGGAAGCGGAAGCTAAGCTCCTGTTCAAAAGAACCTATGCAGTCTCACACCTCTCTCTGCTCCAGGGCCCTCGGTGCCTCCTCTGGTGTCCTTTTCGGCTGGGCTTACACAGAAACCTTTTCCCAGTGATGTGGGTGTTGTCCTCTTCAACAAGGTGCTGGTGAATGATGGGGACGTCTATAATCCCAATACTGGTGAGTGTTGGAAGGATGTGGGGCTCTCAGTCTCCTCCTTTCCAAAGCCTTTGACCCAAGTGGAATGTGGGGTCCTCTCATTCTGCTGGGTTTCCTGGCCCTGTGGGATGGGGTGGAGTGGGGGAGCAGTTGGGGGAGCGCGAGCCTTGAGGAGCAGGGTGGGCTCATCCTGCTCATCCCAGTTTTAAGGTTTTAATGAAGATGTGTCCCAGCTCCGCGGGTTGTAGAGTATGTGGGTGCATGAGTGAGAGTACACAGGGACAGACCTCCCGGAACCTCCTGCAATTTCATGCTCTTGTGATGGACAGAGCCTTCAGGAAGGCGGCCACAGGCTGTCCAGAAGGGGCCGAGTTTTGTGTGGGGTCCTCTGCTCTGGGAAAGAATCACTTAGACTGTGTGCTTCCAGCGTCAGCCTGTACCTTCTACTGAATGTGCATCTGAATAGCCCTGGGGCACAGTGTTGGATGGGCTGATCCCCAAATCCTGACCAGTGTGCCTTTCTGTAGGACATGGTAGAACTGCCTCATAGGACTTCCAAAGCTGAAATCTTTATGGGAGCAGACGCCAGGTCTTTTTGCTCACTAGCAGATGTTACTCTCGCTCACCTGGGAGGGGGCTGAGTGCATGGAATTGCAGGCGGATTTCAGGGCCAGGTGCTGCAGAGAAATGATTTTAGTAGGATGGCATTATGCTTCCTTCTCTGCAGAGTTTTCAGCCGTCACCTTCACGTATGTCCCATTTGATCACCACCCTCTTCCCACCATATGGCTACGTCCCACCTATTCTGAAGGCAGTGGGTCTTACATTTTATGGAGCTAAAAATCATCAGTGGAACTTGGAAAAAGCAATCTCCTGGGCTTTGGATGAGAGGGACGCCCAGGAACCTACCTTTTAAACTAGCTCCCTAGAAGTCCTGGGCAGGTGAGGGTCTGTTAAGGGTGCCTTAATATCAGGGCCACCCTCGTTGTCACTGCATGCTGCCTTGGTTTTAGGGACAGCTTGACTGGGTGATCTTTGAAGGTTGGGATGTGACCATGTTTCTTTACCTGCCCTCACCCCCAATCCTACCTCAACTATACTCTTACGTGGAAGCAGGTACTCAGTAAATTATGAGTGAACTGGTGAGAGGCTTCACCACCTGCAGACCCTGTGCCCGGAAAGCTCTGGCTGTTTGTCTTTGGAATCCGGGTGCCTCTGGAGAGCACCCCGCAGTTTTGATTAGTTATCATTAAAAGCTGGGTGGTCTGGCCTATTCAGATTGATTTCTCAGGGCAGATTGAAGACCCAGGTCCTTTGGGCCTCCCTGTTATCCCAGCTCCTGGTTTTTGGTCTGTGGTCAACATTTCAAGTCCCCTCCCAGCATCCGGTGTGGACTCATCTCTTCTTTCTCCCATCATCTCCCACCTCCCCGTTGCCTCCTGCCTTTACAGGCCCAGAACATGAGGATCACTGGCTAAGTGACTACTAGTGCCTGTTTATGGCCATGAATGGATGCCATCTGTATACACTGACCTAGCTCCTCTACATGAAGAGAGCTGGCTTTGGCCTCCTGGGGTTATTTGGCATCTTGTCTTTTCTGGATTGGTCTGGAATGTTGTCTTTATCAGTCCTGCCTGAATTAAAAGGGATGGCACACAACAGTGGAGCTGAGGTTGATAAGCTGGCCTTGGGGTGCTGCGTGAGAATCAGGGAACAGCCTAAGCTCTGGGCATGTTTCTATCTCACTGAACTGCAGGTCCATGTGGGAGCCAGACGCAGCGTGGGGCCCTGTGGCCAGCAAAAAGGAATAGTAGAACACCCCAGCTCCCTTCTCAGCAGTGCTGGAGGCTTTTTCTCAGTGTGCAGAACAGTAATGGGCAAGCTTCCCCAGTAGCGCTGCTACTGTAAATATGCAGGCAAGCCCGGGGCCCAGGGGCTACGCACTTACTTGTTCTCTCAGAATGCTGCCAGGGAGGAACCAGTGAGCACCAGTGCGCAGTGCCAACACACTGGGTTCCGAATCCCTGGTGGGTGTGAGCAGGTGTAGCAGACAGGCTGGACCCCCTGCTTGACCTCACTTGTAAGGCCGGCTGACACATTGCCCTGGCTTGCCCAGGAAGTAAGGGTATCACCAGACAATCCGGGCAAGGACAGAGGGTTTGTGTGTGGTTGTGCAACGTGAGCACTTGTGTCTGTCTTCCTCTCAGGGATCTTCACAGCTCCTTACGAAGGGCGCTACCTGATCACCGCCACCCTCACTCCTGAGAGAGACACCTACGTAGAAGCAGTCCTGTCTGTCTCCAACGCTAGCGTGGCTCAGCTGCACACGGCAGGGTACAAGAGGGAGTTTCTGGAATACCACCGGCCCCAAGGGGCCCTCCACACATGCGGGGGCCCCGGGGCCTTTCACCTCATCGTGCACTTGAAGGCTGGGGATGGCGTCAACATTGTGGTGACTGGGGGCAGGCTGGCTCAGACAGACTTTGATGAGATGTACTCCACATTCAGTGGGGTGTTCTTATACCCTTTCCTTTCCCACCTCTAGATGAGCTGGGGCAAGGGAGGGTAAGGATAGTTGTAAAAACTCGAAGCTTTAATATATTCAGTATGTATGTAATTGGAGCACTGGTCTAGAGTTTTCGTATACATCCCACCCTTTCCCCAAGATGAAGGCCTTACCCATGGTATAGGCCACTGCACCAGATGGGTTCCAGGCAGGCAGCACTGACGCTTGCATCTTTCAGTGGATCCTGCCCTTCTGGAACCTTCCAGCTCCAGCCGAGACGTCAGTAGGAGTCCTACCCAACAGTCCTGTGCTGGACTCGGCGCCACTAGCTCCCCTTGGGCTAGGCCAGGGTGGCATCCTGCTGATGGAGGAGCTGGCTGAGGGCTGGGAGGAGGCTGATGGCTGTCTTTATCTTACACTGTGTGGAGTTTAAACACTGAAGTGCAGGAGTGCTGTGTGCCCCGGCCTGGAGATGGAACTTCACACTTGGGGCTGTTCTGTGACCATGGGGACCCGTCACTGCTCACCCAGCCCTTCCCTGGTGCAGGGAGGGGCGTGCACAGAGACTAAGTTCCTGAAGCTTGTTGGGCTCCTTAAATGACATGTACAACTTATGTGCAAAGACAGGGAGTATCAATAAAGATGGAAAACCACTTGAAGTTACTTTTCTGCAGTGTAGTACCTTATGACTTGCAACAGGAGGCTCCCCATAAATTGGTCACACACTGAGGGCTAAGATTACCTTGAGAAAGGCAGCCTCCTCTGTCTTACAGGGGCCTCCAGACCCAGCGACCCTTTATCCAACAGCACACTGAATCCAGGCTCCAGGCTCACTAGTGGGACTGATCAAATGCCACTGGAGCGCTACTAGTCATGTCCAGGTGAGGCAGTAGTGTACTAGAGTCCCAGGGCAAGATAAGGACAGTATAAATAAGTAAAAGCTTTGGTTTCCTTGGCTCAAATCAACACTACTCTGCTGTCACACCACTTTCGAGGATTGTTTGCAAATGAAGTAACAGGGTGGCCCCAGGACCCTTCTTACTCTCTGGCCTCTTCCCAGCACTGTCATTTCAAGAAACCCAGAGACCTTTCCTTTCAGGGGCCGTCCAAGAATCCTGGGTCTATGGTTGTAGTGTAGTCCACATTCAGGCTGCTGTCTAGAAGAGGGAGAACGGCATCCTGTTCCTTGTTTCCTCAGCTGAGGAACTGGCTGGAGGCTGCTGACAGGACCCTTGGCGGTCCCACAAATGACTCATGGAAAATTACCTCAAAGCAGTGGAGCATTTTCAGGAAAACCCAGTTGGCGTGCAGGCTTGCTTTCGTCCTCTAGCTCACACCCTTTTTAAAGACCTTACTCAATGCTCAACAGCCAAAGAGGCAGGAACAAGATAGAGATTGGAGCAATTTTTCTTTTTTCTACTTCATAGATGGCTCTCTACAGCTACAAGTACAACTAGGCCTTTCCTCAGTGCATCTCAATGATTCATTGAGTTTTAACTCTGTGTATTCAGACAGGCCAGGCAGAGTACTGAGAATGGGATGGCCCTGCAGTTACTCAGATAAATTGGAATGAGAGCTGCCAAGTCCTTAGGTAGGTGGGGAACACAGGCTGTTCCTATTTGAACCACCTAAAAGCCCTCGGGGTAAAAATGGTTTCCTCTACAATGGCACCTTTCTGTTCTCCAAATCTTGTCACCATGGTTTCCTTGGACCTTGTACCCAGCCATTGAGTCACGGTGAAGAAGCATGAAATGCAAACCTTTCTCAGACTTGAAAGTACATACTCATGGAGGGATTGTGCTAGTCAGCACACACTTGCATATGGTAAAGGCCAAAGATAGGTAGAAAAAAGATCATTTAAATGACACAGAAGACTTGTTTTCACCAGATGACTCTGTTTCTCCTAATTTGATGGGGAAAAAAAAAAAAATCAGGATTGAGATAGTGTCCACACTCAGTGCTGGTTTAGGGAAAGGTGAGGTAGCAAGGACTCTGAACATTATCCTGTTGTCGCTAAGTGCCTCACAGCGGCCCTGTACAGGGTTTCGGAGGAGGGGCTTGTGAATTTGAACAGCCAATCTTGCAGTTCAAAGCAACCTTGTGGTCCAGTGCTTATCCTATGGCATCACACCTCTCCAGGAAACAGCACTGAGGGTAAGGAGGTAAGAACCAGTCAGAGATGCCAGTGAGAATACAAGAGAAATGGCACACGTCTGAATGGGCCGCTCCCTGGCAGAGTCACCAAAGCCTAGAGGGCTTACTTCCTGGGAGTGGGGGGTGGGGAGGGGTAAGCTTGACTGAAGATTTATAAAAAATAAGCACTAAAGAGAAATGTCAGTGTCAACAAAGAAAAAATGTTAATTTATGGAAATGATCTGTTTTGGCAAGAGTATAAAGATGGTCTCTAAATATCCTCAGGAAGAGTCAAAATTCGTTTAGTTTACATTTGTTTATTATTGTAACATCAAACATTGCACCAAAATATGATCCATTTATCGCAAGACAATTGTCTTTACCATAACTAAGAGTACTGTTATGATGTTTACAATTAATTTCGGACAACTTAAAACTTATTAGTGGCACCGCTGTCTAATGATCAAATACTTCATCATAAACTGAACTTAATTGTTAAATTGAAAGAGCAAAGTTTCCCTTCCCTTTCTAACCTTGAAAATAAACCCGTCCAAAGTACTTTTCACCTGGAACGAGCCCTTAATTTAAACACAAATTCAATGTTTAACTGGTTTCATTAAATCCAGCATGCTCCAAAACAAGGAAATCCCGGCTTCTAGGAGCAACTGTGATAGCTGAAAAGCTGATTAAATCCCTCGCTGTTTTTGTAAAATGCCTGCACCTGCCAAACTGCAGCAGGGCTGAGCACAGGGCCCCAGGTAGGTGGGACTTTTGAGCTGGTAATGCCTCAGTGCTTCTGACAGAAGAGTGGGCCCAGGCAAAAAAGAACCGCACAGCTTCTAAAGCTTTCATCATCAGACTAGTAAGCTGTTGTTGTTGTTTTTTGTTCTAGTTGAAAACTACGCAGATGTTCTTACACACGGCAAACACAGCACTTAAGCATGCTCCAGGTCCACATGTGTACCCCTAAAGCCTGACAAGTATGCTGATGTCTACACTTCACAGAAGTACAAGCTTAAACACGTGGACATAAATGCAAACACTACAGTTAGATGGATTGAAAAGAGGGACCATTGAACCAATGGAGCGGCTGTTAGGATGTAGAAGAGCCCCTCCCTCTGCTATACAGGCTCCTTAACTCCCCCAGCTACAGCAAACACTGTGAGGGCAATGTGTCATCAACTCTCCATCCTAAGGGCTTATGTACACACACGCAAGGGCATCTCTTTCACAGAAAGAACAAATGTCATTTGTACCAAATGGCAATGGTTTTTTAGCACAAACAATACTTTCATAACATTATAGCAATAGTACATCATCTACTTGCAGTAAGAGGAACTCCTTGAAATAAGGAAAAAGACTCACGTTAATTAGCATATATACCCACTGGATCAACCTGCATCGACAAAGCCTGTTGCTTATGGACACTAGGACAAAGGGACCAACCCCCCCTCAGAATAGGGCTTCCGAGATGGATCTTCTGAGGAGAATCCATGTGTCCTAAGAGAAGAGCTTGTCAGGAAAAAGAAACACATAACCCTAGTCAAAAAGTCTCTAGAGGTCAACCTAAGAAAGAACTACATAAGGTATACATTAACGATTCTCATATGACACAAAGGCCAAGAAACCCTTCCCCAAGCTCAGGTTAGGTGCATAACGCTCACTCTCCCCTACCCAGTCTGTCAGGAGGATATGCTGATAGCATTCAGTGTTAGTTTAGCCACCACCACTAACTGGGTCTATGGTAGTTCAGTGAACCTGGTTATAGAGAGAACTAAAGCAACTGGTATCTGTTCTGAGGGTTTTAATTCACTGCTTACGTAAAACTTCAGATAAATATAACCTTATTCCCCTAACCTACCGTATAGAAATACTTCAATTAAACTTATTAACCAATCAGTCCTGGAATACTCAAGGTGAGAAGGTCTGAACTAGAGAAAGCATGTGCCACTGAGAACTGTATTGAAGAGATCTCAACATTGTCTCTGCGTTAGCAGAGACAGTAACTTAGGGAAAACCAACTCTCCCACCGGGAAACTCACCGCCCATCTGGCCCCTGCCTGGAGCCCACAGTAAAGCTGCAGAGGGTGGGTCTGGGAGTGGCTCTCGTCTCTGGGGCCTCAACTCCTGCTCTCCTCATGTGAAGACTGGCTGTGCCCATCTTCGGGCCCCTGAAGTCCTCCACTCACAGTGAAGTGATTGTCAATACCATCCTGATCTCTCCAGGCTCCTGAGAATGACTGGCCAATCCCAACCTCTGGAGGGGTTTACAGCACGTGACCCTGGTGCTGTCTGTTCACATATCTGACATGATCACTAAAGCCAGGTCACAAAGCAGAGCGGGTCTTCATTTTTCTAGGGAAAGCTCCCGGGGACGCCCCTGTGCCCATGATGTCTCCCAGGACAGCCTGGGCATCTCCCGCCCAAAGGGAGAAGTCAGTACAAAGGCTTGGCTCTAGGAGCCCTCTCTTATGGCTTCCACAGGCTTTAGTCATGCCTGTGATTCCAAATGCCAAAGCTAAACTGCCGGGCCTATGGCCTTACGTGAGTGCCACTGTGTTTCCCTGACAAATCTAAAGTGCAGAACTGTCCCAAAGCCAAGATGCCCTCAAGTCTACGTAGCACAGACACAGGGCTAGAGAAGCAGCGCTTGCCTGGACAGCTTGCAGTGGTACAGCTGCCCTTCTGAGCCTCCCTGAAAACAGGCAGACCTGCTGCTTCTGAATTTAAATTCAATTTCCACTAATAAGAGTTTTATTGAAAACATCAAATATATACCTGCAAGACCTGTTTCTTCTGGATAGGGTTAAGAAATAACTTAAAGGCCTCCCATCATCACAGATAAGCAGCACATAATGCTCTCAGTGTCAGAGCCATGTCTGTAGGGCTGTGGAGACAGTGGCCCTGGTTCAGGGTAGCAGAAATGGAGGAGTCCAGTGGACTCAGGTTAGAGAGGGACACTGAACGTCAGCTGCCTGGTGGAACTTCAGTCACTGGACTCTTTTTGCTTTTCTTCCTTTTAAATTGTGTCATTAAAGGAGTACCCGGCATATAATTCAACACAGAGAACACATGCCTCCACCTTCAGGGCAAGCCCCTCATGTCCTCTCCTGGGCACTGAGCTCTAGTCCCCGCCCAGCCCGAGAAGCCAACCAAGGGAAGCGAAGAGAGAAGCAGTCCAGCTCTGGGAGGGCTCCCCGTCCCTTCGGCTCGGCACTGTGGCTCTGAAGTTCATCCCGTGTCCTCTGAAGTTCATCCTGTGTCCTCAGACCAGCAGAAGCCAGTCACTTCCTGTCCTGTGAGGCTGAGTGACTGGGACCCCTGCCCTGGGGAGGGGAAGTCCTCAGGCCAGGTCATTGAGGCTCACATTGGGGATCGGGGCACGCCAGTAGCAGAAGGAACTAAACTCTGGGCACGGAAAGGCTGAGTTCTGTTCTTTATCGAGGAGTGGGAATACGTGCTCCACGAGTTCACTCAGCCTGTGGTACCTACAAGGGTGGGGAGAGACACACATTTCAGAACCCAACATAGAGCACAAACTATAGGTGACTGTTAGGTTCTGTCCCAGGACAGATCAGGATTATCAGAGAGTACCTTCAATGCCTATTGTGAAGGCAAAGAGGAGTCTCCAAAAGACAGAATTAGCGTTTTTATTTTAGTCTGGTTGCTAGCTGTCTATCCTCAGCTTTGCTCTTGGTGGGGGCACCACACTGCAAAGGGAATGCACTTACGATGACTTATTTCCTTTGGTCCTTTCTTGTATCAACTCTCCTTTGGGGTTCACGGTGAATATTCTACAGTCTGGAACTCCAACTTGTGTGTAAGCATAGACATCCTGCAGAGGAGAGGAGCATGGTGAATACAGGGAGGGAGGCAGATGAGCTATGGAAACCAGGTGAAGCCGGGCAAGTTTAGACAAGCTCAACTACAGAGTGATGGCAAACGCACAGGGTTTCTGGGGAAGCCGAACACCTTGGTTGTCAAGGAGAACCAGGGCTCCTGGAGCAGGACGGAGGCAATACCCCTGCCTAGCCCGGGACCTGAGGCCCCACTCTGGTGAAGCGACAAGGGAGCACTACAGAAGGGGAAGCACCTCATCTGTGTGCCACTTTGAGCAGATCCAGGGACACATTCGGCACCACAGAAATCTCTGTCAGCAGCATTCTTCCTAGTCTACACTTCTGAGGCAGGTCTCCACCTAACAGGTTGTCCCGGCCCCCGTGCTATAGGAATTTGGAACAGATACATCTACTAAGCAGAAGTGACATTCGTTTTGTCACTTGCTTGTGGAATTATGACACAGATCTACCCCAAAAGCACATGCCTCTGGATTTCACCACCAGATCAAAATCTGATACTCAGAGGAGACGCTTACATTTGGGCGGTTTCCAAACGCAGCATAGAAGGGCTGCTTAGATGGGGCAAACAGGTTCCTGATATCATTGAGGCATTCAATTTTGAACTTCTCTGGTTTCTTCTCAATCACTTCCCTAAGGGGGAAATATAAATACAAGACTAAGTCAAAAAGTACTGCTATGAAGGCTCCATCCAGTTCACACATGCACAGGTTTATTTCAAACACTTCTCTGCGATCAGTGGGTGGCTGCAGATATGCCCTCTCAATAATACACTTGTCTGAGTATTGTTTGTTGTTGTTAAGTGTCGTTGAGTTGGTTCCGACCCATAGCGACCCTGTATAGGGTTTCTAAGGAGCGACGGGTGAGCTTGAACCACTGACCTTGCAGTTCAAACGGCTTTGCAGTCTGGCACATTAACCTACAGCGCCACACCATGACTCCTTCCAAAAAAACAAAAAGTCCAATCAAGACATAACCACTTCAAGGCAGAGAGGTCAACTCAGACCTCTTGGTCTGGGGATCCCAAAGGTAATACTGATATTTTTTTTTGAAGGACACAGGATGATCAAGGATTTATTAGTAAGAAGTTTTAAGAAAATGGAAAAGTGCATTGTAACAGAAAGGCCAAGAAAAGTTGTGCAAAAGACTTTTTTTCCCATCGCAACAATACACCTGCTCATTCTTTGAGGACAACAGGGGCTGTCCTACAAAAATTTTGTTAGAAACCGTACCCCATGCACCCGCCAGCCCTGATCTTGCCCCTGCAGACTTCTTTTTGTTCTCCAAACACAAAAAACATGAAAAAGTAGCACAATTTGAGTTTCTTGAAGATGTTACAAATGCTGTTTCAACTTGATCTAAACAGAAGAGCACAGAATTCTTCTGGAAAGGAAATGGTGCCTTCAGAAGCGTCCAGCCCCAGGTAGAGGATACGTCCAGAAATAATGGCTTCACATTTTGATACTTTTGTTTAATAAGGGTTTTCCGTGATTTTGTAGCAATACTTTTTTACTTATTCCCATACATTCACCAAATACAAAACAAAGGGCTGTTTCCCCTGGTAGGTGCCTAAAAAGATTTCAGTGCTCACGCCATTTAGTTTTTGAAATCCATTGTAATTGGAAATCTTTCCTTGTCTTTCTTCCCCAGCCAGGGTGATGACTAAGAAAATGTAAATGCTGGAATGTGGTACAGAAAAAAAACTTGAGAACATCAACAACTTAACTTCTCTTCACCATGTTTGACAGGGAGCAGGGGAGAATCACGTGTTACGTTAAAAAAACTAGGAGAATTAAGAGAGAAGCACACGCTCTGAAATAGACACAAAGACGTCTAAAACGTGCACTCTCGTGTGCACTGCAGTCAGGGAGGCTGGGCCCACCCCGCTGGACACGGTACCTGTGGAAGGCAGAGAACAAGCTGCTGGGGGACAGCATCAGAGGGCCCCGAGGCAAGATTGTGCCCTTGTCATTGACCCAGTGGAGGTAGCCGCGTGTCATATCAGCCATGCCAATGGCTCGGGCAGAACAGTACAGAAACTTGTAACCATTTCTGAAAGAGAATACATTTGCTTAACTCACATGTTTTAGCTAAAATAAACAACAGTTTTCTTTTAAAAGATCGAAAGAAAGTTCTTCTTATTACTATAAGTTTAGCAGAAGACAAGGATATATGTATCTCACCTTTCCATGGAAAACACCATTGGGAAAAATGGAAGTATATGTGATGAAGATTTAGGCTAAATGTATAAATTACTGATTTAATATATTCAGTTCAGGAAAGTCAGGTAATAGATAAAAACTTTGATCTATCTTGAAATTAGTAGGGGAAAACTACACAAATGACTTTATTTACAAAGGCAGTTTGTAGAATTCTAACTATTCGTAGGATAAGAAGCAGAATTATATCTAGGTAATGGGCATATTCACAACTTTCCTATTATGACAAGTTGAACAAATGCTCAAGGCACCACCTTTCTTCAAATCAGTTGAACTCCACACTGTCAGGACCCAGAAAGCTCACAGCACTGCAGCCCCCTACAGCATGCCTGACAAGACCACTGCATCCCCTCTACAGCATGCCTGACAAGACCACTGCATCTCCCCCTACAGCATGCCTGACAAGACCACTGCATCCCCTCTACAGCATGCCTGACAAGACCACTATATCTCCCCCCTACAGCATGCCTGACAAGACCACTGCATCTCCCCCTACAGCATGCCTGACAAGACCACTGCATCCCTCCTCTACAGCATGCCTAACAAGACCACTGCAGCACCCCCTACAGCATGCCTGACAAGACCACTGCATCTCCCCCTACAGCATGCCTGACAAGACCACTGAAGCCCCCTACAGCATACCTGACAAGACCACTGCATCCCCCCCTACAGCATGCCTGACAAGAGCACTGCATCCCCCCCTACAGCATGCCTGACAAGAGCACTGCATCTCCCCCTACAGCATGCCTGACAAGACCACTGCATCTCCCCCTACATCATGCCTGACAAGACCACTGCATCTTCTCCCTACAGCATGCCTGACAAGACCACTGCATCTCCCCATACAGCATGCCTGACAAGACCACTGCAGCACCCCCTACAGCATGCCTGACAAGACCACTG